CCAGGCTGCTCCAAGCCCCATCCAACCTGCCCTTCAACACCCCCAGGGATGGGGCAGCCACAGCTTCCCTGGGCAACCTGGGCCAGGCTCTCCCCACCCTCACAGCCCAGAATTTCTCCCTCCCATCTCAGCTCCAGCTCCCTCTGCCAGCTGGAAACCCTTCCCCCTGCTCCCATCCCTCCCTGCCCTGGCCCCAGCCCCTCACCAGGGATCATGACGTGCAGCCCCTTCAGGTGCTCGTTGGTGACCCCGCTCTCGGTGCAGACCTTGTCCACGAAGCGGTTGATGAATCTCACCACGTAATTGGCCACGTCTGAGCTCTCGGCGTCCTCGAAGCCGCTCTCGGTGTCGTAGCTCTCGGCCACGCTGCCCGCGATGCTGCGGGGGAGTCACCCCAGGACATCTCCCTGCTGCAGCCCAGGGCAGGCACAGCCCGGGGGAGGTCCCCCTCCTGCTGTGATCCCAGGGCAGCCCCCACTCCTGGTGTGAACCCAGGAGAGCCCCCACTCTTGGTATGAACCCAGGGGAACCTCTGCTCTTGGTACGAACTCAAGGGAACCTCCACTCTTGCTATGACCCCAGGAGTTCTTCCACTCCTGGCATGACCCCAGGAGAACCTCCACTCTTGGTGTGACCCCAAGAGAGCCCCCACTCGTGGTGTGACCCCAGGAGAGCCCCCACTCGTGGTGTGACCCCAGGAGAACCTCCACTCTTGGTACGAACCCAGGAGAACCTCCACTCTTACTATGACCCCAAGAGATCTTCCACTCTTGGTATGACTCTAGGAGAGGTTCCACTCATGGTATGAACCCAGGAGAACCTCTGCTCTTGGTATGAACCCAGGAGAGCCCCCACTCTTGCTATGACCCCAGGAGAACCTCCACTCCTGACATGACCCCGGGGGAACCTCCACTCTTGCTGTGACCCACCCCCGGGCACTGTGTCCTGCACGAATCCCCAGGGTGGCTGAGTGACCCAGACGCCCACAGTGCCCCCTCAAGCAGGTCCCATCCCCAGCTCAGGTGGCTCTGGTGCCCCCCAGCACGGCCCCCCCAGGCCCCAGGGCTGGCCCACCTGTTGGTGAGGAAGCTGTTGCTGATGCTCTCCAGGTCGCCCAGCCCCGAGGCGCGCAGCAGGCGGCTCCTGCTGGTGTCCAGGGGCAGGAGCAGGTAGCTCATGCGGTTGGCGTAGTGGATGGCCTGGCTGAACACTGTGCTCTCCTCCTTCTGGATCAGCTCCTGCTGCTTCTCCCGGCTCATGGTGGGCCACAGCCTCAGCTGCTCCGAGGCTATCTCCAGGGCAGACTTGGCTTCCTGCGGCCCCTCTGCGCTCTCCTGGTAGTGGATGGCCTGGCTGAACACTGTGCTCTCCTCCTTCTGGATCAGCTCCTGCTGCTTCTCCCGGCTCATGGTGGGCCACAGCCTCAGCTGCTCCGAGGCTATCTCCAGGGCAGACTTGGCTTCCTGCGGCCCCTCTGCGCTCTCCTGAAGGAGGTGGAAGGAGATGGGACATCTCATCGTGCATCTGAGACCCGCCAGCCTTCACCCCTCTGCTGCCACAGGGATCTCCCAGCACCAGAGCTCAGCCCCTCAGGATGGTTCAGTATCTTTATCAGCCCATGGATCTCCAGGGAGAGCTGCTTCTCCAGGAACACTGGAGCCTCACCATCTCCTCACCTCATCCGTGTGGTTCTCCTCGTTGTTGTCCAGGTACAAGGCCCGGATGTGGTTCTGCACGTCGCAGTAGAACATGGCCTCCCAGAACTGGATGTTGGTCCACACCACGTGCTCCTGCACGCAGCTGTAGGCAAACTGAGTGATGCCTGGGCTCAGTTTCTGAGGAAGCAGAAGGTGGAAGAAAAATCACTGAATGGTTTTGGTCGGAAAAGGGACAAGGCAGGTCGCAGCCTGGGGACAGGGCAGGGCACAGCCTGGGGACAGGGCAGGTCGCAGCCTGGGGACAAGGCAGGTCGCAGCCTGGGGACAGGGCAGGGCACAGCCTGGGGACAGGGCAGGTCGCAGCCTGGGGACAAGGCAGGTCGCAGCCTGGGGACAGGGCAGGGCACAGCCTGGGGACAGGGCAGGTCGCAGCCTGGGGACAAGGCAGGTCGCAGCCTGGGGACAGGGCAGGGCACAGCCTGGGGACAGGGCAGGTCGCAGCCTGGGGACAAGGCAGGTCGCAGCCTGGGGACAGGGCAGGGCACAGCCTGGGGACAGGGCAGGTCGCAGCCTGGGGACAAGGCAGGTCGCAGCCTGGGGACAGGGCAGGGCACAGCCTGGGGACAGGGCAGGTCGCAGCCTGGGGACAAGGCAGGTCGCAGCCTGGGGACAGGGCAGGGCACAGCCTGGGGACAGGGCAGGTCGCAGCCTGGGGACAAGGCAGGTCGCAGCCTGGGGACAGGGCAGGGCACAGCCTGGGGACAGGGCAGGTCGCAGCCTGGGGACAAGGCAGGTCGCAGCCTGGGGACAGGGCAGGGCACAGCCTGGGGACAGGGCAGGTCGCAGCCTGGGGACAAGGCAGGTCGCAGCCTGGGGACAGGGCAGGGCACAGCCTGGGGACAGGGCAGGTCGCAGCCTGGGGACAAGGCAGGTCGCAGCCTGGGGACAGGGCAGGGCACAGCCTGGGGACAGGGCAGGTCGCAGCCTGGGGACAAGGCAGGTCGCAGCCTGGGGACAGGGCAGGGCACAGCCTGGGGACAGGGCAGGTCGCAGCCTGGGGACAAGGCAGGTCGCAGCCTGGGGACAGGGCAGGGCACAGCCTGGGGACAGGGCAGGTCGCAGCCTGGGGACAAGGCAGGTCGCAGCCTGGGGACAGGGCAGGGCACAGCCTGGGGACAGGGCAGGTCGCAGCCTGGGGACAAGGCAGGTCGCAGCCTGGGGACAGGGCAGGGCACAGCCTGGGGACAGGGCAGGTCGCAGCCTGGGGACAAGGCAGGTCGCAGCCTGGGGACAGGGCAGGGCACAGCCTGGGGACAGGGCAGGTCGCAGCCTGGGGACAAGGCAGGTCGCAGCCTGGGGACAGGGCAGGGCACAGCCTGGGGACAGGGCAGGTCGCAGCCTGGGGACAAGGCAGGTCGCAGCCTGGGGACAGGGCAGGGCACAGCCTGGGGACAGGGCAGGTCGCAGCCTGGGGACAAGGCAGGTCGCAGCCTGGGGACAGGGCAGGGCACAGCCTGGGGACAGGGCAGGTCGCAGCCTGGGGACAAGGCAGGTCGCAGCCTGGGGACAGGGCAGGGCACAGCCTGGGGACAGGGCAGGTCGCAGCCTGGGGACAAGGCAGGTCGCAGCCTGGGGACAGGGCAGGGCACAGCCTGGGGACAGGGCAGGTCGCAGCCTGGGGACAAGGCAGGTCGCAGCCTGGGGACAGGGCAGGGCACAGCCTGGGGACAGGGCAGGTCGCAGCCTGGGGACAAGGCAGGTCGCAGCCTGGGGACAGGGCAGGGCACAGCCTGGGGACAGGGCAGGTCGCAGCCTGGGGACAAGGCAGGTCGCAGCCTGGGGACAGGGCAGGGCACAGCCTGGGGACAGGGCAGGTCGCAGCCTGGGGACAAGGCAGGTCGCAGCCTGGGGACAGGGCAGGGCACAGCCTGGGGACAGGGCAGGTCGCAGCCTGGGGACAAGGCAGGTCGCAGCCTGGGGACAGGGCAGGGCACAGCCTGGGGACAGGGCAGGTCGCAGCCTGGGGACAAGGCAGGTCGCAGCCTGGGGACAGGGCAGGGCACAGCCTGGGGACAGGGCAGGTCGCAGCCTGGGGACAAGGCAGGTCGCAGCCTGGGGACAGGGCAGGGCACAGCCTGGGGACAGGGCAGGGCACAGCCTGGGGACAGGGCAGGTCGCAGCCTGGGGACAAGGCAGGTCGCAGCCTGGGGACAGGGCAGGGCACAACCTGGGGACAGGGCAGGGCACAGCCTGGGGACAGGGCAGGGCACAGCCTGGGGACAGGGCAGGTCGCAGCCTGGGGACAGGGCAGGTTGCAGTGTGGGGACAGGGCAGGTCACAGCCTGGGGACACAGGGCCCAGGAGCTCTGCTGGCAGCGTCAGGCCAAGGGCAGCCCACAGGGTCTGCACAGTGTGCTGGGCTGGCAGACACCAGCATGTCCACACTCAGAGGCAAAGGGCAGAACCCACGTCTGGAGCCCACCCCTGGGAGGTCTCCAGCCTCAGGAGGTCCCCTTCCCTAAGAGCACCCCAGCCCTGGGAGGTCTCCAGCCCCAGGAGGTCCCCTTCCCTAAGAGCTCCCCAGCTCTGGGAGGTGTCCCCAGGCCAGGCCCTGGGGACACCAGAAGATGCAGAAATGGTGCAGGGAGGATCAGGCAAAAGCCCCGGGACACGAGTAGAAATGGTGCTGAGAGGGGAACACAGGAGACCAGAGCTGGTCAGCAGAGCCCTGGAGACAGGCAGGGAACATCCTCTCCAGCTGCCAGAGGGGAGAGGCAGAGCGACCCCCCCTCTCCTCCCTCAGCCACCAGCTCCTTAGGGTCCCCTCTCACCTTTTTGGCTTCCAGCATCTTGTTCTCGAAGACGTAGGAGATGCAGTTCCTGACCACCTCCAGGCGCCGGGCGCTGTTGGCCAGCGCGTTGCCGTTGCGCTCCATGATGGCAGCTGGGGAGAGAACTGCCCTGAGCTCCCCTGGGCAGGACCTTCACCCCCCAGCCCCACATGGATGGGCTCCAGGCCCCAGGAGCTGCTGCTGGAAGAGCCCTACAGGTCTCCAGCGTCCCCCCACGCTGGCTGGCAGGCTCCAGGGAGCTCTAAGGCCCCCAGGGAGGCAGCAGCTGATGAGGACAGTGCTCCTGCTTCTCCACTTTGCTCAGGTGGGACCCTCGGACACACCACAGGGGGAAAAGGAGCAGCAAGAGCAGGACCCAGCTCCTCCTGGGCAGGGTCTCCCAGGGCAGGCAGGGCCCGGGGGGCACACGTACCGATGGGGGGTCCTGAGGGCACCATGCACTTCTTCTCCGCCCTGACGGCTGGAGGGGCCGTTTGCAGCTTGGCCGTGGCCTGGTCGATGATCCACTGCACGGTCCCCTCATCCAGGTGGGGAAAGGGCTTCTGGTGCAGCCGCAGGTGACAGCCCTCCGTGGGCTTCTGCACCTTGTGCATGGTGACTGCAGGGTAGGGGTTCTCCTGGCACAGCACAGACAGTTTCCCTTCAGGCCCAGCTCCTCCCCCAGGCACTGAGGAGACCTTCACCAGCTTCTCCTGCTCCCAGGACAAACGCTCTCCCAGAGGGCACCTACAGCCCCCAACAACCCACAGGGCCCCACAGTCCCCTGAGGGGCCCACAGATTCTGCTCTGCTCTCAGAAGACCTTTGCTGGCCCACCTGGGACCAGACAATGAGCACAGTGGCTGCTCCAAAGCCATGGAATGCCTGGGGCCCAGAGCACCTGAACCCCAGGAATCCCACTCACAGAATCCCAGAATTATTGAGGCTGGGAAAGGCCTCTGAGCTCATCAAGCCCAGCCTATGACCAACACCACCACATCAGCCAGACCATGGCACCAAGTGCCACATCCAGGCTCTGCTTTAACACCTCCAGGGACGGTGTCCCCACCACTTCCCTGGGCAGCCCATCCCAATGTCTGATCCCCCTCTCCATGAGGAAGTGCTTCCTGATATCCAACCCGACACCCAACTCCTGGCGAGGCAGACCCTCCAGAGCCCATGAGCAGGACATGATGGGACAGGGTGATGCACCAGCTGCAGGAAGGGCTTGTGCAGGGAGGACAGGCCCCCCTGGACCCCCCTGCCCCGTTCCCTGCTCCCAGCAGCTTCTCCCCTGCCCAGGACTCACGTTCTTGTAAAGCTTCTCCGCCAGCTCCTTGATGTGCCGCAGGATCTTCTGCTTGTTCCCCTCCTCCGCCCGCATGCGCTTCACCTCGTAGGCCACCAGCTGGGGCAGGAGAGGGGGGTGAGAGGGGCAGGATCCCACCCCCCAGCAGCCAGGGGACCCCACGGGGGGTGTGGGAGGGCAGGGGAGGGGGGCTCTCCTGGCACACCTCATCAAACAGGTCGATGGGGCGGTGCGGGGCCCCCCGCTCGGTGACGAAGCCAGCGAAGGCCATGCCCTCCAGAACCTTGGTGAGGAAGTCATCTTCTGTCAGCCCCCGCTGGCCCAGGAAGGCAGCCTGGAGTGGGGAGGGACAGGGTCAGCACGGGCCAGGCACCACTGGGGCTGACCTGGCAGCTGGGGTGACACCTGGGTGTCCAGCTCTGGGGTCCCCAACACAGGAAGGACAAGGAGCTGTTGGAGAGAGGCCAGGGGAGGCCACAGAGATGCTGGGAGGGCTGGAGCAGCTCTGGGACAGGCTGGGAGAGTTGGGGTGTTCAGCCTGGAGAAG